CCAGGGAAAAAATTTTCATGGAGACTCTGCAAGAAATCATGGACTATTACAACAGTGAAGGTCAGTGGACTAAAAACTGCTGGGGTAGAGGGTGTTAGCTCAAGAGAGAGAGCCCAAGTGTGGGAGGAAAGGGGTCAGCAGGAGGGGACAGTCCCCACCCCAAAGGAGGAACAGGAGGCACGAGGAGAAGTGCACAGACATGTCCACCTTCCCCCCACCCCACAGCACATCTGCTCCCTCCCTCCCTATCGCTTCCCCCACACTCCCCCCAGCATCAGCTCACACAGCAGTCCATGTCAGAGTCACTTCTTATCCAGCAACCTGTGACAACTCACCTCCACACCCCACCTGCCCAAGCCTGGCCCCACGTTAGAAGGTGCTATACCCACCCTGTCCAGGGATGTTGGGTGCAGAGTGAGCCAACCTTGTAGTCAGCCAGACCCAGGTTACAGGTTACCTGGTGACTTCACCAGTCACCAGCCATTTGACCATGAGCAAGGTTCTCAATTATTTGGTCTGAATCTGCAACAATTGAAGCATTGAGACCTATCTTTAAAGATGTTGTAAACCTTGTCTATTTTGATTCTATGAAGGACATAACAGTCTGTCATGATCTCCTCCTTATCCCCATCATGTAGGATGGGGCACAACCACCCATATTTCCTTAATATATCTCATCTCAGACTGGCTGGAATGCCAGACAAGAGTTTCCCCTCCCTGCTGAATGTCCACCTAGTAACCTCTTTGCCAACTTGAAGGGATTGCATGCTGACATTTCAAAAACTTTACTCCTATTGGGTGCAAAGTATACGGGAATAGAGTTACTCACATGAAATCGGAACCAGGCTGACTGAATCCCTGTGGGGACGGGGGAGGCTTCAGGGTCTCATACTTTTCAGGGAATTTTTGGTTGTGAGCTCCGGAATAACAGAAGCAGTGGAGCATTCTGGAGGTACACCTACGATGGACGACCCTTCCTTGAATTCAACAAATATATCCCAGCCTGGATCCCCTTTGAGCCAGCCGCCGTGATGATCAAGCACAAGTGGGAGACAGAAGGCTCTGTGTACAGAGCCAGGGAGTACCTGGAGGAGGAGTGCCCTGCCCTGCTGCGAAGGTACCTGGAATACAGCAAGCCGTACCTGGACCGAAAAGGTACTCCCTGTGTCCTATGGGCTGTTCCAGTACTGAGCTGCCAAAGACCAAGGGGATCTCAGGCTGGGAGCTCAGGGGAACATCTCAGGCTTCTTCTGTCCACTTCTGGAACTCCCTTATTCTCCCAAATCTCACCTCCTAGGATTCATTCCATCCCTGGGAAGACATGATGTGGGGTCTGAAAAGAACATAGATCAAAATTTCAGGCAGGATGGTACAGGAAAGCCATTGAGTCCATGGCGGGCTTCCCTAAATAGTTTCCAATTGACAGAGGTGGAAGCTGGGGGCAGAGAGGTTAGATTAACAATGTCCATAAAAGGCAGAGTTGGGACTCAAATTCCACATTTCAGATCCCAGATCCCATTGTCAGTTCTCTCTGCGATGATGCCTCCTGTCTTGTCTGTGGAGAGAAGGCAGGTTTTTAAAAGTCTGCCTAGGAAAGACGAAAACCAGCCAGTGTGAGCAGAACTGATTGCCACAAGCTGAGAGCTAGCTTTGAGAAGGACTGAGAATAAAGATTGTGCCATGGAGCAGGGAAGAGTTTGAAGCAAAGAGCCACAGAGGGAACCAGGGGCTGGGCCGAGGTTGGGGGAGGGGGCCCACAAAGCCCACTGATATTTGGGAACGAATGGGGAAGGGGATGGGACATTCACAACTTGTTGCCCTCAGAAGTCAATGCACGGCGGGGTGAGGAGGGGCCTAGAGAGTGGCTGAGGACATTACATGAGCCAGCAAGAAGGCTCTGGGGAAGCCTCAGCCTCCCCTGATCTTCCTAATGTTCTCTTGGGGGAGGCGGGTGTGGAGCTTTGAGCTCTGCTGATTGCTGACATCCAGGAGTGGGGGTGAGAAGCGACATGGGCTGGGGAATTCAACCTCAAGCCTTCACTCTCCACACTCTGTCTCCCCACAGACCCTCCCTCTGTGTCAGTCACCAGCCGTGCAGCCCCAGGAAACAAGAGGACACTCACGTGCAAGGCCACTGGCTTCTACCCAGAAGAAATTCGTCTGTACTGGACTCGAGCTGGTGTCCCACTAGGGCCTGAGTTGGGGGCAGTTGTTCCCAGCAGGAATGGCACTTACAAGGCCTGGATGAGTGTGCAAATCCCCGCTTATGACAGAGGCCCCTACTTTTGCTATGTGGAGCACAGCAGCCTGGCCCGGCCCCTCATCGTGAGGTGGGTTGGGGAACCAGTAGTAAGAGCTGCTGGCAACTCGGGGACTCAGCCCCAGTAGCCACCCTTTCTGCCTGACATGAGACAGCTCAGCCTCAGCAGTCACTGTCAGTGTCATCAGCAAGGCCCATGGAGGCAGTGTCAGGGACAGACAGATGGGGGATTTGGAGACAGAAGACGTGAATACCGGGCACTGGGCTGACTCTCACCACCAAATCACCTCACCTTGCAAACCCCATTGTCTAATCTGTAAACCTAATAAACAATCATCTCCTTGTGCAGCACAGCGGACTCTTCTGTAATTGTCATGTGCCGTGAAATGCGCCTCCATTCATCACTCCTTCTGTCCCCAAGCCTTTGATTCGTCTGAAATTCCTGGTATCCACTGCAAGCACTGTTTACTGGGCATCTTGACCTGCATGTCCCAAGTGTGGTGTCAACCACCTGGTCCCTTGGGCACTGTTCAGGCACCCACTGCTGATGTTCACAGATATAGCCATGGCCTCCTGGCTATGTTTTCTAGAACTCTGAAACCTCTTTCATGCAAACCCCAGCCTCTCCCATACCTCAGTTTCTCCAGCTCTACTCTCTCCCATTGAAATGTCACCCTCGGCTCCAGTTACTGAATTTCCTTCACCCTTGACAGGTCTCATCTCTCCAGGCACATTCCAAAGGAAAGAGAAATTGACCCTCATGTTTTTGGACCCTCTGCAAATCCACTTGAGTGTATTCTTTCAACTGATTCACCCACCGCCATCCACAGGTCAAAACCCAAAGGAGAGCAGAACTCAGTCACACCTGACCTTTCCATTAGTCCTCACCTGCCTGTGACTGTGTATTCTACCTGTGTGACAAGAGCTTCCTTAACACCCTGTCCTTAGCCACCCATTCTGGATGATTCTAAAATCAGTCCTTAAAGCTGAGTTCATTAAGGAAATCATTCCGTCTTCGGAATTCTGAGTCAACCGTCTTATCTTTCTTGAGAGCCTAAGTGTGAAGGCTACACTTTTTTTTCTTTTTTTATATTTTGTCCTGATGTTGAAAATCAAAGCTGAGCCATTACTCTTTAGTCCATATAAAATCCACATTCCCCTCTTCTGGGGCAAAAACAAAAAACAAAAACAAAACAAGAAAACTATCTAAATAGTAGAGGTCCACTAGGAGGAAAATCCAAACAATCAAGTAAAAAATATATCCATTGATATTTCAAGATATAATAACACTTTGGACAAATAAAAGGCTACAGGTAACATTTCAGACCAATGAGGAAACCAAAAGTCCACATGAACAAGAAGGGACTAAGAAAAACTGGAAAGTGAGATTCGATCCCACCTGGGAGAGCACGGGGGGAGGGGTGGACAAGGGGGGGAAACCTCAGAAGACCCCAGTCCTGCCCAGGTTTGCCAGAGGTGGGGAGGGGCACAGAGCCGCTCAGACACCCAGAGAAAACCTTCAGGAGGGCGTCGGGTTTCAGGGGAGGTGTGAAGGCTTAGGACGGCTTAGCAAGGAGAGGTCAGAAGATTGTCCCTAACCACCTGGGGATGACACAGCTGATGAGGAGGGGCCTGATGAGGGAGGTGACCTGGGAGTGGGCTGGCCATGGGCATTGACTGAGATCACCAGGGAGGACAACCAGGTCCAGAGACCCAAATTTGGGTCCTTCCACAGTCACCTCCCACGCATACAACAGAGTATGACTGACGGATCTCGCTGCAGGCAGGACCAATTTCAAGTGCAACTTGAGGAGGCCCCACCCCAGGAGGATCTCACTGCCACAATTATCTCCTTCTGTAATAATTCCTCAGTCAGCTTAGAAGAGCATGTCACTCTGTGCTTGGGGGACCCTCTGCAAAGAGCCCATCAGACCCCAAAGATGCATGGAAACTCAGGACACCACCATGGACTGCACACTGGACACCCCATGACTGAGGCTGCTCTGCTGCCCCCAGGAGCTGGCACTTGCACCGCTACCAAGACCACAAGAAAAGGCTGTCAGCTGTATCTGCTTCTTTGCTTCCCAGGCCCTCGTCCAGGGCAGGCACATCTGCTTGCTGAGCCAAAGCCATGTGCACAGCTGTGGTTTCTTTTGCAAGGGAAGCTACCAAAGAGGTATGTGGCTATATCTGCTTCCGTGAAGAAAAGTTTGGATTCACCCAGCGTGAAAAGCGAGTGAGGGAGACATGTGAATGTCCTCCAGACAGAGCTCTGGTGGGGTGGGGTGTGGTGGACCCTAGCTGGGGTCTACCCAGGACCAGGACCTACACGTGTGGAGAATTTTCTAGAGTGAAAGAATAAAATGTGGTCTGACCACATCCAATACCCCCACTGACTTCAAGGTGGGGATGTCATCACAGATTGGAAGGGTGACACACGTGCCAGGCCTCTGCCATGAGCCACACATACCTCCTGCACTCTGGCATTCTGTCACCCAAAGACGACACAGAGGCCCAGTGTAAAGATCAGCTATCTCAGCTCCCAGTCTGTATATCCTGTCTTTGGAATCACTGAACACAACCTCTGCCAGCCTGTTTTGCATGTCCTCATTTCTCACTGTTAGGGGAGGAGCCCATTCTGCCAATCTCATTTGTCTGTAGATTCACCAACCCCTGGGCAGGGCTCCGGGACCCAGAGAAATACCTGTGTCTCCTGCTGCAAACCTTTCAAATAGGCACGATGGCAACAGTGGTGCCTGTCCTGATGTCCCTGCTGCTCCTTCTGGGTTCTGCGTTCCTCCAGGATGCCCAAGATGGTGAGAGGGGAGAGCAAGCGATGGGCATGGGAGAAAAATGGCAGGAAGGGGAGGAGCAGGGTGGATGTGCTGGCAGAAGTGCCACAAATGCAGCCGGGGTTCCTCGTGTGCTGTATTAATAGGTGTCCGAGGCTGTCACTAACTCAGCTCACACACTCTAGAAACACTCACAGAGCTCTGGACTCAAGCTCAATACGGTCTAAAGGAATCTGAATCTGAATCCCTAGTTTACAGATGAAGAAAGTGAGAGGGGAGAGCAAGCGATGGGCATGGGAGAAAAATGGCAGGAAGGGGAGGAGCAGGGTGGATGTGCTGGCAGAAGTGCCACAAATGCAGCCGGGGTTCCTCGTGTGCTGTATTAATAGGTGTCCGAGGCTGTCACTAACTCAGCTCACACACTCTAGAAACACTCACAGAGCTCTGGACTCAAGCTCAATACGGTCTAAAGGAATCTGAATCTGAATCCCTAGTTTACAGATGAAGAAAAAAAAGAACAACTAAGATCCGGAGAGGTGAAGTGACTTGCCTGAGGTCAGGCAGCCAGGATGGAGCAGGACCTGCACATGGACAGCTCTTTCTCCAGGTGCTTCTCTTCCTCCAAGGGGCTGGATGCACTGGTCTGACTCTCGGGGAAAGACAGCGCCCCGTGGGGCAAATGTGAAGGCAGGTTAGCTGGAGAGATGCCACCGCAAGGAAACTGGTGGCTTCAGCCAGTCAGACAAGGACAGAGTGGCCTGGGAGGCAAGTGACTGGGTGAAAAGACAGAGGGGCTCAGAAGATGCAGAGTCAGTTTTAGGTGGGGAGAATGAGGCTGTTTATGGCAAATTTATTTTCAGGATGATGACACGTAAGTTAATGATTACTCAACTGTGCAAGTTGAAAGTTTGGTACATTGTGAAATTGTCAGCGTAGGTGCTTTATGTTAGTTTTATAACAACTAATCATATTTAGAATGTTGATCACAATCTACACAAAAATCTTCTTGACTCAGTGTTCTCCAGGGAAGTTTATCGGATATGCAGTCATGCACTGCTCAAAGATGGACCTCAGACACGGTGGTGGTCCCTTCAGGTGGTAATGGCTACTCCATGTAGTCTAGGTGGGTCAGAAACTACACCATATAGGTGTGCGTAAGCACACTCTATGATGTTTGCACAAGAACGAAAATGCCTAATGGCCCATTTCATAGAATATATCCCCATCATTAACCAAGGGTGTTTGTCAGGTTACACTAGGCTTTTTTCCAATAACATATAAAGGATTTAGTGATGAAACCCTGCAACACTTTTTTCTCATTCAATTCTAGTTCAATGCACATAGGACATCTCTTCCATCTTCCACAGAATGACTCAGGGATCCAAGCTGTTTTTGTCCTGGGACTCTTCCATTTCATTCTGTGGCCTCCACATTCATCATCTAAATGGGACAGAGACAGCAAGGTCAAGCCAGCTCATAGGACCTGGACCACAAGAAAGATGTCACTTCCCTTTTGCCGTAACTCATATCATCGTCCCAAAAGACCTGCAAGGAGACAGAAATATGATCTTCTTAGGTGCCAAGCAGAGGAAAAAATGTAGTGAAGACACAGAATGGTCTCTGAAATATTGTCCCCAGAATAGAAGTAGAGCCTGTTCACTGGAGCGAGCCTCCAATGGGTGAGGCTGACAGCAGGGCAGACAGAGCTGGGAAAGAAGAGGCCCAGAGGCCAGGTCTTCCCTCCTGGCCCTCTGCTGCCCCACACCAGACCCCTCCCCTCAGAGTCTTCTGTTCATTTTTAGGTACTTACTCTCTGACCTATGTCTACACTGGGCGGTCCAGGCCAAGAGAAGGCATCCCTGTGCTCCAGGGCATTGTCTACCTAAATGACCAGCCCTTCTATGAGTACAACAGTGACAGCAGGAAGGCTGAGCCCCTGGGACCATGGAAGAATGTGGAAGGAATAAAAGACTGGAAGAATGAGAGCCAACATCAGCAGGCCAGGCAGGATTTCTACATGAAGACCCTGCAAGAAATCATGGACTATTACAATGACAGTGAAGGTCAGTGGACAACAGATGGCTGGGGTGGAAGGTCTTAGCTCAAGAGGGAGTCCTGGATACATGAGAAGAAAGAGGTCAGCAGGGGACAGTCCCCACCCCAAAGGAGGAACAGGAGGCACGAGGAGAAGTGCACAGACATGTCCGCCTTTCCCCCACCCCACAGCACATCTGCTCCCTCCCTCCCTTTCGCTTCCCCCACGCTCCCCCCAGCATCAGCTCACACAGCAGTCCATGTCAGAGTCACTTCTTATCCAGCAACCTGTGACAACTCACCTCCACACCCCACCTGCCCAAGCCTGGCCCCACGTTAGAAGGTGTCAGACTCACCCTGTCCAGGGATGTTGGGAGCAGAGTGAGCCAACCTTGTAGCCAGCCAGACCTGGGTTACCTGGTGACTTCACCGGTCACTAGCCATTTGACCATGAGCAAGTTTCTCAATTATTTGGTCAGAATCTCAAAAATTGGAGCACTAAGTCCTACCTTTAAAAGGTGTTGCAACCTTGTCTTGGTCGATTCCATGAAAGATACAAAAGTTAGCCATGATATTCCCTGTGGCCTCATTGGCTAGGACAGGGCTTAGGCAGTCATATTTGATTGGTTGAAATCTGTCAAATGAATAGACAAAACATTCCTAGCACAAGCCATGGCCCATACTGGGAGATCAGTAAGTGCTGGATTTAAACCACAGCCTATTAGAGTTCCTGGAATCATAAAGAGCCTCCTGTCCAGAGAAAGAAGACACAGGAGGGGTCATCTTTACATGTGGTGGCAGAGTCCAGATGCAGACTAGTCCTTCTGTCTCCCAGCCCAGCAGTCTTTCTCCTGACCCACACTGCCTACCCCCAAGGCAGCCAGTCTTAGTCCTGGAGAACTGCTGATGTCAAGTTATTCTAGGGTGGGAGTTAAGAAGTGGGCTTCTGAGTGCGAAAATGCCCAAGAAGCTACGTGGAGTCTGAAGGTTTCCAACAGGTGGCAAGAGTCATGCAGAAATCTGAGAGGTGTAGAACGGGAAGTCTTGGAAAGGAATGACCTGAGCTGTGTGTCAGAAATAGGAGGTAGGAGGACACAGGTGACCAAGAAGGCCATTGAAAGAAACTGTGATTGGTGGAATAGAAATGTTGAAGTGATAACTGTGAGTAAGGAGGATGCAGAGATAAAGACATGAACACAGGGTATTAGAAAATAGTAACAGCTAACGAGTGTGAGCCCTTACTCTGTGCCAGGCGCATTTATTAAAACCTTTAACGCTCACGATAACCTTCGAGAAAATAGGACTATTGCCATTTCAGAGATGAGAAAAGCAAAGGTTAATGGCTCAAGTGTATGGAAGAAGCCAGGCTGGGGTGTGGGGAGATCTGTGACTTTAGGCCAGATAGCTTGAGAGCTACTAGAGCCTGTGCCAACAGCACTAACCAGCATCGGGTAAACCCTTCCTTGTAGAATCGATATGGGGAGCTTGTGACCCCCTGCCCTTAGGCAATCAATTTTGGAGATTTGTGGGTTAATAAGTAAGGGTTTGGGGTTTTTAAGGATATGGAATAAAGACAGCCACCACGAAAAAATATGGAAGAAGTGATCAAATTATATTTACTCAACTGGTGATATGAACTGCACCTAGAATTGACAGAAAAGGAGAGATTCCTGTAATCCTCATGAAATCACAAATAATTTCTATTATTTCTATTATTATTCTATAAATTGGAAATGCACATTGGTGTAATTGTGTCAGATTGCTAAGAACTCACTCTATAATTAAAGAAATAAGCTTCATTAAATGAGATGATACAGGATAGAGATCTGTCCATAGTCTGTATCTCTTTTATGTTCCCTGGCTGGAAAAAATATGTCTTATCTCAGACTGCCCTGAAATGCCACACCGACCAGTTTCCCCTTTCTGCCTGCTTATACCTGCCTAGTAACCTATTTGCCAACATGAAGGGATTGCATGCTGACATTTCAAAAACTTTATTTACTATTGGCTGCAAAGTATACAGGAATCAGAGTTATTCAGATGGAGTTGGTTCCAGGCTGACTGAATCCCTGTGGGGTCGGGGGAGGCTTCAGGGTCTCACATTCTACAGGAAATGTTTGGCTGTGAGATCAGGAATAACAGAAGCAGTGGGGCATTCTGGAGGAACGCATATGATGGACGGGACTTCATCGAATTCAACACAACAATCCCAGCCTGGATCCCCTTGGACCCAGCCGCCGTGATGATCAAGCACAAGTGGGAGACAGAAGGCTCTGTGTACAGAGCCAGGGCGTACCTGGAGGAGGAGTGCCCCGCCATGCTGCGGACATACCTGGAATACAGCAATCTGTATCTGGACCGAAAAGGTACTCCCCGTGTCCTATGGGCTGTTCCCAGTACTGAGCTGGCAAAGATCAAGGGGATCTCAGGCTGGGAGCTCAGGGGAGCATCTCAGCCTGCTTCAGTCCATTTCTGGAAGACCCTTATCCTCAGCTGTCACCTCTTAGAATTCACTCCTTTTCTGGGAGGACATGATGTGGGGTCCAAAAAAGAATGTTCAGTGTAATTTCAGTCAGGATGGTACAGGAAAGCCATTGAGTCCATGGCGGGCTTCCCTAAATAGTTTCCAATTGACAGAGGTGGAAGCTGGGGGCAGAGAGGTTAGATTAACAATGTCCATAAAAGGCAGAGTTGGGACTCAAATTCCACATTTCAGATCCCAGATCCCATTGTCAGTTCTCTCTGCGATGATGCCTCCTGTCTTGTCTGTGGAGAGAAGGCAGGTTTTTAAAAGTCTGCCTAGGAAAGACGAAAACCAGCCAGTGTGAGCAGAACTGATTGCCACAAGCTGAGAGCTAGCTTTGAGAAGGACTGAGAATAAAGATTGTGCCATGGAGCAGGGAAGAGTTTGAAGCAAAGAGCCACAGAGGGAACCAGGGGCTGGGCCGAGGTTGGGGGAGGGGGCCCACAAAGCCCACTGATATTTGGGAACGAATGGGGAAGGGGATGGGACATTCACAACTTGTTGCCCTCAGAAGTCAATGCACGGCGGGGTGTGGAGGGGCCTAGAGAGTGGCTGAGGACATTACATGAGCCAGCAAGAAGGCTCTGGGGAAGCCTCAGCCTCCCCTCATCTTCCTAATGTTCTCTTGGGGGAGGCGGGTGTGGAGCTTTGAGCTCTGCTGATTGCTGACATCCAGGAGTGGAGGTGAGAAGCGACATGGGCCGGGGAATTCAACCTCAAGCCTTCACTCTCCACACTCTGTCTCCCCACAGACCCTCCCTCTGTGTCAGTCACCAGCCGTGCAGCCCCAGGAAACGAGAGGACACTCAAGTGCATGATCACTGGCTTCTACCCAGAAGACATTATTCTGTACTGGACTCGAACTGGTGTCCCACTAGGGCCTGAGTTGGGGGCAGTTGTTCCCAGCAGGAATGGCACTTATGAGGCCTGGATGAGTGTGCAAATCCCCGCTTATGACAGAGGCCCCTACTTTTGCTATGTGGAGCACAGCAGCCTGGCCCGGCCCCTCATGATGCGGTGGGTTGGGGAACCAGTAGTAAGAGCTGCTGGCAACTCGGGGACTCAGCCCCAGTAGCCACCCTTTCTGCCTGACATGAGACAGCTCAGCCTCAGCAGTCACTGTCAGTGTCATCAGCAAGGCCCATGGAGGCAGTGTCAGGGACAGACAGATGGGGGATTTGGAGACAGAAGACGTGAATACCGGGCACTGGGCTGACTCTCACCACCAAATCACCTCCCCTTGCAAACCCCATTGTCTAATCTGTAAACCTAATAAACAATCATCTCCTTGTGCAGCACAGCGGACTATTCTGTAATTGTCATGTGCCGTGAAATGCGCCTCCATTCATCATTCCTTCTGTCCCCAAGCATTTGATTCATCTGAAATTCCTGGTATCCACTGCAAGCACTGTTTACTGGGCATCTTGACCTGCATGTCCCAAGTGTGGTGTCAACCACCTGGTCCCTTGAGCACTATTCAGGCACTCACTGCTGATATCCATGGCTCCTCTAGCTGTGAGGTCCTAGTACTCTGAAACCTCTTTTATGCAAACCCAAGCCTCTCCTGTACCTGTTTCCCCAGCTCTCCCTTGTCCCAGTGAGACACCACCCTCTGCTCCAGCTACTCAGCCTTTCCCACACCGTGCTGGCCTTGGGCCACACATATTCAGAGCTTATTCAAGAGACCTCATCTCCCCAGGGCATGCTCCCAAGGAAGCAGGAATTAACCTGATGCTCTTGGACTGATTCACCCACTGCCATGCACAGGTTAAACCCAAAAGGAGAGCAGAACTCAGTCACACCTGACCTTTTCATTAGCCCTCATCTGCCTGTGACTGTGTGTTTCCCACCTGCATGACAAGAGCTTCCTTAACACCCTGTCCTCAGCCTGCCACTCTGCATTACTCCAAAACCACTCCTCCAAGTTGAGTTCCTTAAGGAAATCATTCCCTTCCTTCAGAAATCAGAATAACTGTCTTACCTTCCCTGAAAGCTAAAATTTGAAGGCTACACTCATTTTTTGTTGTATTTTTGCTCCATTTTGAAAATCAAATCTGAGAAATTAATTCTTTAGTGTACATGAAATCCACATTCCCCTCTTCTGGGGCTAAAAATAGCCCCATGTGAACAGTAGAGGGCCACAGAGAAGAAAATTAAAATAGTCAAGAAGGAAAAATATAGCAAATAATGCTTTAAACTATGATAGCACCTTGAACAAATAGAGAGTAACAGGATAAACATTCGAGATTGATGAGTAAACCAGAAGTTCACATGTACAGGCTGGGACCATCACCAGATACACTGGAGAGATGCAGCACCCCCCTGAGAAGTCCTCTCAGCTTTGGTGAGCTCAGCTCCTCCACTGCTCAGTAGCTCTCGCTGTTCCAGCCAAGTAGAATTATTGGCCATCAGACAAATTCAGTGTTTTCTCTCTATTGCCTTCATTTGTGCAGTTATTGGTTCATCCAAAAATTACACATTGAGCTTTTACTATATGCTTGGTACTCTGATAAGCAATAGAGACTCAGTAGAACAAAGTAGAGACTTTACCTTAATTCTGCTGATGACAGCAATGCCCACTGTCAAGGTCCAGCTCAAATCTTACCTTCCATGACCATTTCCCCAGTCATCAACTCCAATGTGTATTCTTTCCATGCTGAGTCTCTCTCAGATGGAAATATCAGGGATGATTTCAAGGAAGATATCACATTTGAGTGAAGCCAAATTTCACACTATCTAAAGATGGAAGGGTTGTCTGTGCAAGTAAGCCGGACCACTCTATCACCGGTTCTCTTTTCTATTCTTTCTTCATGTGAAGAAAACAGGGGGAAAAAGTTAAGGAATAAAAGATGGAGGCAGAGGGAGGTGAAAAAAATGATAGGAGAGGTACAGAAATCAACTTTGCCAATTCCTGAATCTCAACTCAAAGGTTTCCATTGATTATTTAGAGTTATGGTCAATCCATCCATCCGTCCATTCATTTGACAAATGTTTATTGAATGTGTCTCAGTTACAAGGCACTTAGATAGTTGTTTAGGGCCGGCCCAGTGGCTCACTCGGGAGAGTGCGGTGCTGATAACACCAAGGCCACGGGTTCGGATCCCATATAGGGATGGCCGGTTTGCTCACTGGCTGAGCGTGGTGCTGACAACACCAAGTCAAGGGTTAAGATCCCCTTACCGGTCATCTTTAAAAAAAAAAAAAGAAAGAAAGAAACACTGGCCACACTAATCTAGACTACTTAGCTTGAAAGTAATTCCCATATTTGTTTAAAATACAACGAGATAAAAACATCTTATTTTCCCAGGATTTCTCTAAATAATGTCATTGAGTTTACCTAAGCAATGGGTTTCTTGGTGATAACAAATTCCCATAAAGAGTTTGTCTGTCAAGCAATACGTTCTACAGAAGTTCAGCTTCTCAGGCTAGAAGAAAACATGTCAATTAAGTTCAAGAAATGGAGTCACTGTGGTTCTTTCTTTTATTCTCCTTTTCTGGCCTCTCTTCTTCATCACCACACAGGAAATCTTCATGTGGGCCTCTGAGGCTGAGTGGGAGCTCTAGGATCAGAAAAAAACTCAGCCCCAGTGAGCGTGGGTTATGCAAGAATCACACCAAAAGGAGCAGAAAATTGCAGCATATGCAGGTGCCATGAGATGGGGAACAAATGATGCTCTCGATACACTTTTCCATATTATTTACACATTGATTTGTACCACTGTCCCTTACCACATGCTGTTTTGTTGGTCTTGAGAAGTAATATTCTAAAGCAAACACAGAAAGGGAAAGTATGAGGAAAAGGCCAAATCGTTCTGGATTAGCCATTTTAATGTGAAAAGCAAAACCTTAAACTTATTACTGGAAAATATTTTTATAACCTTGGGAGCAGAAAGGATTTGTTAAGCAAGACTCGAAAAGCATAAACCAAAAAAAGAAAGATCAATTGAAATGTACTACCTTAAAACTTAAAACGTGTGTACAATGAACGACATAAGTGAAAAGCAACCCACATGCCGGGAAAATATATTTTGCAGCACATAAAATCAACAAAAGATTTAATATGCAAATGTATTTCAAACGCCTATGAATTAGTGAGAAAGGCAAGTGGGAGCAAGACAACTATTATGAACAAATGATTCACAGGAGAGAAAATAGGCATGGATAATGAATAGATACTCAATGTCACAGGTAAACAGGAAAATGCAAATCACAACAACGAGATAAAGCAAAGCCACAATGAGACATCACTTTACCCATGAGGGTGGTTAGCGTCAAAAAGACAGACAAGTGTTGGAGAGGATGTGAAAAACTAGAATCCTCGTACACTGCTAGTGGGAACGTAAAATGGTGCAGCTTCTGTGATAAACAGCTTGGCCATTGCTCAATAGGTTAAACATGGAGCTTCCATATGACCCAGCAATTCCACTCATAGGTACCAACCCAAGAGAAATAAAAACCTATGTCCACACTAAAACTTGTACAGGCATGTTTATTTATAACAGCATTATTTATAAAAGCTGAAAGATGGAAAAAACCAAATTGCCCATGATTGAATAAACAAACTGTAGTATATCCATATCATGGAATACTATTCAGCAATAAAAAAGAATAAAGTACCAATACATGCAAGAACATGGGAGAACCTTGAAAACATTACACTAAGTGAAAGAAGCCTGAAACAAAGGATCATATATTGTATGATTCCATCTACATGAAACGTCCAGAATAGGCAAATCTTTAGAGACAGACAGTAAATTAGTGGTTGACCAGAGATGGAGGTAGAGGGGTTTGGAGGATGATGGTTAACTTTGTGCGGGGTTTCTTTGGGGGGTAATTAAAATGTTCTAAAGTTGATTGTGGTGATAGTTGGACAGCTCTGTGAATACACTAAAAGCCACTGAAGTATATACTTTAAATGAGTAAATTGTATAGGATGTGAATTATCTCAATAAAGCTGTTTTTTAAAAAATGAGATATATTTTGCATACATTCCCACACCCCAAGGATGATGAGCACCGGGAACACTCATGCACTGCTGATGGGAAAGGAGTGGGGAATATCTGGTAAAGACAGAGATTCACACATCCTAAAACCCAACACCACCACTCTTAGGCTCATACCCTAGAGAAATCCATTCCTGTGAGTAGAAAGGGAAAAATATGATACTATTCATTGCGACATTGTTTATGATAGTAAACACTTGTACAAAAAATCAAAATGTTCATCGACAGACTGATGGACACATACATTGTGTCATGTTCATATAATGCAGTGATACACTGAATTTAGAGTGAATCAACCAGAGCTCTATGGATTAATACAAATTAATCCCAGAAATATACTATTGTATTACAAAATAAGCTGCAAAATAATATGTACAGTATGATATCCATTTTATAACTTAAATACATGTGACCCAGTATAATTTGTGGACACATCATATGCAGTAAGCTAAAAATAAGCAGAGGAAGAAGCATAGTTACCTCTGGGAGGGAGAGAGAAGAATGGGACCAGAAAGGCCCATGCAGGAAACATCAACTATTTCCCTACTGTTTTAGATGCTTTTTTAAAAAAAGTATATACATAAGGCAAAAACAGCAAAATGAACAAAACTGGGTTGTGGTTACACATGTGGTTATTATCATATGCTGTACATTTTCTGTATGATTGAAGTATTTCATAATAAAAAGAAAATGCTAAATGGCTTTTTAAAAGGAGACCTAATTAGCACGTATTGTTTTATTTAAATTTTTTAATGGTAAATATTTACCAAATGTACTCAGTGGTGAATTCATCTTGGTGAACAATTGAATGCTCTTAGGGTTTCAAGAAGCCCATGGGTCTGTGGACAGAGGTATGAGAAGGCAGGGAGAGCAGAAGAGAAAACAGACAAGTTCACCGCAGGAGCTCATTCTAGTTTCAAATGTTATAAATAGAGATTTGAAAATGAAATGACCAGGCCAAGTTCGTGTGGCTTATGAATGACAGAGCCAGAACTTGATCCCCAAGTGGGATCAAGAAGAAATTTCTGACCACAAGGTCAATGTTATGTACACTTGTTCCCCCAAGTTCAGTCATACAGACTCATTATACAGGAATTTAGAGGTATTTGAAAAATACTTCTTTGGGCTGTAAAATATTAGGTTATTCACCAAGACAAACCTCACCACTAAATGCAATGAGTATAAAATTAAAATATGTGTTATAAAATATTGCATGCTCATTAAGGAACATTTGTATATTAAACTATAAAAAAGAAAAAGTCAAAAATATCCTAATCTTTACCAACATTTTTATT